ATGAATGCGTTAACAGATGAATAAACAGTGTTTCTACCTATTGAATCACTATGATGCAAGAAGGGCAGAAGTTTGTACAGTTTGGCCCCACAACCCACGTACCTGAGAAAGAACTTCTATCTCTCATCCCAAAATAAAAGAAGAGGCTTGTCTTTCAGTGCCCTTGACCTGGGAGAATATTTTAATTCAATGTTCAGCAACCTCTATTGAAACAGACAGTGTACTGAGTATTCAACCTACACATGTGGACTATCCTTTCTCTTCCCTAGTAACAGAAAACAAATGACCAGAGCACAAGTAAGAGAAACCAAGTGAGTAAGTACCCTGAAATGTTACAAGGAGGAAGCTAATATCTGCTGATGATAGCGAGGTACCAGGCCTGTAGCTGATGGAGTGAGTCAGTGCAAGGAGAGATCATGTTCTCAGTACTATTACAATAATATGTTTAATTGTACTGAAAAGAGGGACATATCATATCAATAATTATATTCTTCTTATCAAGTAAAATCATTTTTACTCAATTACTCTATCCTTAGGACTTTTTTTTTTTTTTCGTTTTTATCGGTACCAGGGATCGAACTCACGACTGCCTGCTTGCAAGGCAGGTGCTTATGCCGCTGAGCTAAATCCCCAGCCCCTAGGACTTTCTATTTTACATTTCAACAGTTTTCTTTAATCAGTACACATTTGCAAAATCTAATAATTACATTCACACACATTGGTACATGTATCGATCACATCTTAATGATTTTTACAATGGCCTTTTGGTTCCTTAAGACACTGAAATAATCTAAGTTGTGTTCTAAAATAATAACTTATGTTTATGAAAGATAATTAATGAATATTGATTTTCTACCTGCTGTTTGCCAAGTGCTGCTTTAGTTACTGGAAATCTCAATCAAGACAAAGACATTCTCACCCTGCTAGAGGCTATAAAAAGGCAATGGATCTTTCCAAGGAGTAACAAGCAGAGTGACAGGACGGAGTGCTTAGTGTCCAGGTGGGGCAATGTGAGTTGAAATTCAGGGATACATCTTTGAAGAGGTGACAGATGAAGTAAATCATGAGTGAAACAGGAGCAACTCATGCAGACTACACAGTGCGGAGAAGAGAAGATGACTTTGGCAAGTGTGACAAACAGAAAGAATTCAGGTATTCTTTGCAGTGATCCAGAAGACGGGGCTAGGGGATGAGGGTGGTTTCATCAGGAGCCCAAGGACTGGAACAATGTTGAGGATGTAGATTTGACTCCATAGACAATAAGAAGTCCCTAAAGTTTTAATCAGTGATGTGGCTTTATCTGACTTAAGTTTTAAAATATTTTCTCAGAGTACTATATGCAAATGAATCAAAGCAGAGGAGGAGGAGGAGGAGGGAGGAGGGAGGAAGGAGGAAGGAGGGAGGGAGGGAGGTGGGAAGGGAGGAGGTGGGAAGACTTTGGACATATCTATGCCACAAATGTGTTGGTAGTTTGGGGCAGCAGAGTGAACAGGGAAAGTCTTCCTGTAAGAACGCTGTCTTCATAAAAGAACAATCTCTATTTTGGTTTTGCAAGTGTCAGATACAATTCCTTTTCTTGGTATTTCTTAACCATAGCATTTTCAGCATTCTTATTTTGCACCCATATTAGTGCACAAGCCCCTGGTGGAGTCCTTGCTTTTCTTGTCATTCTTCCTCACTTGGGAAATGCTGTTATATATTCAGCACCTTGTGGGTGCTGAATAAATATTGATTAAACAAACCAGCAATGAATCATGTCTGCCGCAAGTGTGGATGCTTAAAAAGTGAAAACACTGGAGCGAGCTGCAGTCTCCAACCTTCAGAGTGAAGAGTGGATTAGCAAAATTGGTGGAGCGGTGCAGAAGTGGGAATGGCTCTTCCTTTTCTCTTGCAGTGCCTTGGGCATGACATGGTCATTTTATCATCACTTCCCATTGGCTGAGTGGAACCAGTCCACACACACACATTCCAGGGACTGCTTATCCGCTGCTCAAGGAGAAGCCAGGGACATGATGCACTTCGTAGGTGTGTGGATGCTTTCTGCTGATCAGCAAGAGCCCTAACTGTGATACAGGCTTTGGGCAAATAGACACTGTCAGAAAAATGAACAGAAGTGTTTACGCTCCATAAGACAAGAGGGAAAGTCAAAAGAAGTGCAGTTGTACTGCATAGCAGGGATCATCTCACCCTTTTTTCAGAGGATCAGAAACTACTCTTTTAGGGCTATGTCTCTCTTATAGCTACTGCAACTCTGGGATATGTGTCATGAAAATATCTTCGGTAAATGATTGGACACCAGTGCTTAGACAAAACTTTGCTTATGGATGCAGAATTTGAAAATTATTTCCAAGTATTACAAGATATTAGTTTTTTCTCTCAACTACTTAAAAACCCAATTCTTATACAAAAATAGGCAGTAGGCTCTGCAGGGGCTCTAGTTTATTGAATCATATTCCATAGAGTAAAAAAGGAGAAAGATGTGTCTGAATTATTTGAAAATTGACAATTTTGTGCATCTGTAATATTAGACATATTTCTTTGTAAATACCTTATTGCAAATTGAAATGTAGTCATTTGTACGATATGACTTTTTGATAATAAGGATCAGGTGGCATCAAATATCTCTTCAGCATCTACTAATTGGGAGCTACTCTCCCAGCTGGCCCCAGGCTTTCTCTAAGCATTGCTCTAAGTTCTCCATACAGAGGATAGATGAACTGTTAATGTTACACCAATTCATTTGGTTGCCTTGAAATACTCTGGTGACTTGCCTCTTGCATTTAAAATAAGATGCAAATGCCTGATTTTGTCCTTGCTTAATCTCATCTGTGACCATTTCCTCTGTTCAGTCATCTCAATCTTCAATTGGAGAGCTCTCTGGGGCTTTGAATCAGCTGCTCCTTAGCTGGAAACAGCCCTTCACGCGAGGACAGAGCGGCTGGTCCTCCTTAAGAATTTGGAACTCAGCTCAAATGTTGCCTCACCAGGGGCCATCCTGGACCACCCAGCCAAATCAGTTCTTCCCCCAATCAGTTTCCATCACATTCCCCAGGTTTGTTTTTATTCTAGAACTGGTCTTTACTAGAATTGTCTTATCAATTAATTCTTTAAACTTATTTTCAAACAATTATCTCCAGTAGAACAGGGCAATTTCTGTCTAATCACAGCTACAACACCATTCTTAAAATAATGCCTAACATTCAGCATTAAACATTGCATCTTTGTTTCTCTAAGGAGGAAGACAAATAGAGGTGTGTGTCCTAGAATGGTGGTTTTTAGAACTGTGGTAGTATTTTATTCCACAGGGGAATGAGAGACAATGTGCAGGGTGGGCTGGGCTGGGCTGGTGGTGGGAAAGACTATATACAGCTTTGAGAAAAGAGGAGTAGGTTTTGAAGAAAACTTCGGGCTAAGTTAAAGCATTTGCACTTCATTTTGAAGGCAAAGAGAAGCCACAGGAGGGTTTAGCAGGCATAGAATAAAATAAGCAGTGTATCTGTTAGGCATTGAGAAGAGAAAGCAGTATGTTATTATAGGCTCTGTCTACACTGCTGGAGATGGCAGTGGTCAGAGTACTCAGAAAAAATTTGTAACTTCAGTGATCATGAAGAAATGTCAAAAACTGAAATTACATTTTGTACAAATGCTACCTCTTTCTGCACCTGTCTCCTTTCTTTTTTAATCTGGACATCCTTGAGGTAGCACCTAACAACAGAGCCAGAGAGAAAGATGCCCCATGCAACATGAATTTTGGTGTACTTTGGCAGGAAAAGGCTGTTTGGTGGGCTTATTTTTCAGTCTCAGACATGAAAATGAGGATGTGGAATTAAAAAAAATAAAAGGGTGTTTAACTTCAGGCTTGCAGTTCAGACTTTCGTGGCCTGCCTGATCCAACCACGGAAGTGAGATTTCTGCAGAAGATAAGCCTCTCTGAAAATGTGTCAGTGTGAGATGGAAGCCATCTAAACATTTAAAAATCAGATTGGAAGAGTTATTTTTCTTATGTGTCAATCCACCTTTCTTCCATTATTCTTCATATTTGGAACACAAAAGCATTAGCCTCCCTCTGTACCTTCTTTATCATGATTCCACAGAGCGGTGAAAACAACCCTTCAGAAGTCAGAAACAAAATCTGTCACACAGATGAGAGATGCAACCAAAGTTTGAAGCTGTTTGAGAGCCCTGATACAACGCTCTTTGACAGAGGTGTCCACAGACTAGGCCTGTATTGCAGAGTTATCCCCAAGCTTCCTCTTCATCTACTACACAAGGTGAAGTCAGTGCTACCAGGGACTTCTTTTCTTTTAAGGGAAAACAAAACAAATAAAATGAACAGGAAAAGTTATCAACTGCCCTTAGAGATTTTGGCTTGCAAATGTCCATATTCATTAACAATGTTAAAGAGTTTAAGGTGATCACAAACAGTACATGGTATGTTTGGCGCATCATCTGTACATTTATTGTTTCTGTCTCCAAAATGAGTGCCCTTTTTATTCATAGTTTCCGCTTCTTCGAAACATCCTCTGTCACTGTTCACAATCTTTCCATGAAAGTATTCTTGTTGATCTTTATTTGCTCTCAAAGCCTCAAAATCTTCTAATTAAAGGCCAGGCATGATTAAAGGTAATTTTTAAGAATTATATCTTTTGTGCTACTAGATTCTGGCTTTTTTCACTTGGTTGGATTTTGCTGTTTGGCAGCAAATTAGAAATGGCCTGAGAGAGGAAATGCTCTGTGAATCCAGAGAAGGCAGCAGAGTGGTTAGACACATGGATGTTGGCTGGGGCAAGAGCACCAGCCGGAACCTCACAGCACCCTGCACTGCTGCTGTCCCCTGGGGCCACTGTCTCTCTGAGCCTCTACCCTCCCACCTGGAGAGGCCAAGGATATCTCCTACTGCTGGGTGGTAGGTGCAGAAGGGACATTTTCTGAATCTAGAAGTAAGAATACGATCCAATTTGCAGGGTCCTCCTAAACTGAGATGGCTTGAGAAGACTTACCGAGAAGTCATCACTGGGGAAGAACAGGAGGTCTTTAAGAGGATAGTCTTGGTGGGTCTTTTCAAGTTCCTCAATGACAGTTTCATAATCCAAAGGCTCAAGAAGCCTGGGCTTTTCCTGCTGTGCAGAAAAAATTGTTAGTCACTTATAATATCATCTCATTTCTCTATATCCGGTTCATTTTTTAGTTGGCGCATTAGCTATTTTTTATCCATATATGTTAGTACATAGTGATTCTACTCTTGCTGTAGGGAATAGGCACTTGTACACAATACATTTTAATTCATTTTTCATCTCCTGTATCTCTTGGTCCCCTTTGCTTTTGCAAAATGTCCAACAGTCCATTTTATATTACTTTTTATTTTATTCTTTATTTTGTTGATATTTTGGGTTTCTCATATAAGAGAAGTCTTTTGATATTGCAACAGTCTTTCCAACAAAGTCACCAAGACTCCAGGGATTAGGGACAAAATCAGACCACTATTCTTTTATTTTGAGATCTGAAGTAATGTGAGGAGACTCTGAAATACAAGACATTCAGGCTGTTGGCACCAAGTCCCCTAGGTGTTCAGTATCCTGCTGGTCACATTTTTAGGAAAGATTTTTTTTTTTGTGAACTTGGCCTGTTTTTACCTACTATAGTGTAATGATGGTCATCATCATTTTTGTTGAATTAAGTACTTCTCTGTGAGTCCTAGTTTGATCAATTTAGAAATCTTGGCACTCTGTTGGCAGTCAAAATACCACAGGCTGTCTTAGTTGTCACTGAACATGGACTGATTCCTTTGCTATAAGCCTTTTTGTCTCTACAGAGAGAAGTGGGGTCAGCTCTAACACAACTGAGTGACAAAACTTACACACAGACACACACACACACACACACACACACACACACACACACACACACACACTGTGATGACAAAAGGCAAGTCTGAAAAAGACCCGGATAATCATACAACATTAAAACCCTGAACCCAAGAGGAAACACACTCCCACCAGAGAAGCCTTTCATAATGCCAAGAAGCAAATGTTCAAGGGGAAGATGGGATTGTATCGTTATAGGTAAGAGGTGTTCCTCCAAACTGTAGGTAAATCATGAAATGAAAAAAAGGATTGGCTTGAACAAAGCAGAACAAAATCTTGCAAAACAGAAATCCAATCTGAGTCCCCTAATCATTTAATGAAGTATTTATGGAAGTTTAATGATAAAAGATGGTCTTTTCTTGGATGGGGATAAGGGGACTCGTAGAAGCTTGAGGCATCATGCAGTTTGGATGGTAAAGTGAAGTTGCAAATGGAAAAATATTTACTTTCTCATCTTAGTGACCACAACAGAAACTTTCTACAGTCTCCGACCTTGCCTCTTCTCCATACTCGGCAAAATAAAATACACAGACTTAGCTTTGATTTAGATCTAGCTTCTAGGCCTCCTTTGGAAGATCTGAGTACAAAGTTCCTCAAACTTTCATTGACATTTTAAAAATTGCTAATGGACTACTCAAAGAAGCTGTCAATATTTATTTGATGATTTTCCAAATATAAAAAAATAAACCAAACAAAACATGAACCCAGTGGGCCAATGACAAAGATACTCTATGCACTTTCTGCATTAAAAAGAAAAATCATAAATGCTTAAGTAATCTGAGGGCAACATAAGGTGAATCTTCTCTCGCTAGAAGGGCCCTTTAAGTAAAGTGGCTATATTTAGCAAATAAAAATAAATAAATTCACAAAATATTTGAAGAACAGAAAACATTTAATTGCTCAGCACAGTCTGGTTAGTGGAAGATGGAGAAGTTGGAAGTGGAAGTCATTGAGGCACAGTGCCATAACTTTGATAATTAAAGTAAGTCTTTTTATTTACTACATTTTGATATTATTAGTCTTTTTAGAGTTTTTTAAGTTCTAATTCTTTATTTCCCTGGCAAATTTAATTCCAATGATCACAAACTGATAGCTCAAAAGCCAAATGCAGGTTCCAGATGTTTGGTTTGGTGACTTTTTTTATTTTGTTTTAAATTGACTTTGACTTATTTAAGAAACAGCATCTCACTCTAGTTTAGCTACAGCTCTTTGTGGTTTTTATTCTCACCCTGTCATAGCCCATATTTATTACCAACTGCCCCTGACAGGCCTCAGAGTTTGAAATACTTCATTTATTCTGGAAAGTATTTTTCCTAAAAAGAATATATATCCATGAAATGTGACAATTATTAAAAATATGTACAGTGCATTCCTATCAGGAAGTTCCTATCTCTGCCATGGATCTGGACATTCATGTATCTGGACATTTCCTTGCTCTCACCAACCTTTCTTTGGCTTAAGCACATGATGCCCTTCGGCATTTGCTGCAGAACCTGCGATGTGGCTATTGACTCTTCTCTCTTGTCTCCTTCCTGACTCCAGTGTGAGTATGACAGTGTGACTTTAAAGGAAATGACTTAAGAATGTTTTGAATGGCCTTACACAATCTGTCTCTTATTCTTTTTAAATTTATTTCTCAGTCCCAAACTTGAGCATTAATTAAGAAGGAGAGAAAATCTATCAAAGAAGATTTTTTCTAGCGACCTAAGTTCTATAATTAAGCCAACCAGAGCTCCCAAGACAAAGATTATTGATAAACAGAGAAACTAAATCTTAAGCTTTCTTTGGTCTTACCAATAAAAGATAAAGCCTGCATGTATCTGTGGGAAGACATAGTTTATGTATTTATCGCAAGCTATGGCATGTGATCCAATTAACAAATTGTATTTATTAGAACTTTTCTGGGGTTATACTGACAAGAGGATCCAAAAGCTGGCATATCTGCTCTATAAATTTGATCTCAGGATAGAATAGATTAGCAAAATTATCTATCTTTTTAAGGATCTTATTAACTAATGTAACATTCAAGACACTCAACATGTCATAATTTTGTGGATATGAAGTTTGATAAGAAAATAACATTGATATATTCTATGGCACCCAGAAATTGGGTTTGACAAAGCTTGCCACAAAATATTTCTGTATGTGTAAAGGCATGAATCCAGGCTACCCAACCAGTAACTTCCTTCCTGGAGGAAGGAAGATGTGTCTTCAGAGTTTTGGTCACAGAGACAGAGGCTTACAAGAATGGTGGGATCAGTTCATTTCTCGCTACTTCTCCTTGCAGAAACATTGAGAACTGAGTAGCATTGATTTACAGTTTTAACAAGGGTTGAGTTGTCCTTTTTGAATTTAATGTGCCTATTTCTTTTGGAAATGCACCAACTGGGAGAAAGTATGTGCCAAGATTAACCTGAAATGGACTGGGTTTTTACAGTGCTTTTTACTCTTACTTGCTCTCTCTCAAACAAGTAATGAATTTTATTAGATATTCTAAAGTCACTGTGCACAAGAAATGGCACCCACCAGTACCTGTTACTACCCAGCAGGCTGATGCTGCACCACATGTTAATGGCCCCCATTCTTCTTAGACAGTACTAAGAGATGTGTTTGATTTAGTTCCCTCAATCCACAGCTCTCTTCCAAATCAACTTCACAACAGAAGAATGGGCTCCTGTCACAGAAACAAAAGTGCTTTTTTTCCTGCACTTATTCCATGACTTCTCATGGAATTCCAATACTCTCTAAGCCATGGAGGGGTGAAGCTGCTATCCTGGTAATAGGTTGGTTGCCAAGACATTCAGTTAGCTTGAAATGAGCAGACTGCTTGCCTTAGCTAGATTCTAAAATCAAGAGCATAGTATTCCACTGCAAAGATCTAAGTGACTTTCATCATTATAATGCAAGATCAAATAGCAGAAGAAATAATGGTGAAAATAATATGCATTACCACCCTAGATCTTTCTCCAGAAGTGCAATCTAAGTAAAAAAAAAAATACCCCAGATTCCCATGACTTGTTCAGGAAAGTCCAAAGTGTAAGGAAGAGTATGATCATAAGTTTTCTGTGTACAGGACCAAATCATATATTCTATAGCCATAGCCCTATGCTAGGTAAATGTAGGCATGATAATAACATCCCTGTACTTTGGTTTCTGCATCTGTAAAATGGTTTGTAGTGACGACTTCATAGAACTAAATGAGGTAGCACTTCTCAGATATGTACCGTATCTACTTTTAAAATTTTATTTTAGGCTTTGGGTTTAGCTCAGCAGCATAAGGGCCTTCCTTACAAGCATGCAGTTGTGAGTTCAGTCCTCGTTATCCCCCCCCCAATGATTTTAAAGAGGAAAAAAACAGTAAAAAAGATACAAAATTTCAAAGCATAGTAGGAGAGTAACAATGTCAATACATTGCCCATTGTTATCTTCAAGATAGTTGTTCATGTTAAAAGATAAAGGCATGAAAAATTGATCCAAGAATATAAATGTAAAACTTTCTTTTTAGTGAAGTAATAGAAATTAGTAGTATAACTATCTAACATATCTATACACACAATATATATGTATATATTTATTTTTCCTTTTCCCTTCCAAGACATGAACCACATTTATTGTATTCACTTCCTAAATATGAAATTGACAAAAGTTGAGGCTTTTACATTTTCACCAGTCATAGACTGCACAAAGCAGTACTGTAAATTTAATGTGTATAAAGAGCAAAAGGTAGGAACTCAATAGACCAGTGTTGGCCAGTTAATTTTATATCTTTACATTCAGATCCAGGAATTTGTTTTTAGGATTATATCTTAAAGAAACAAACACAAACATATAATCCAAGATATATATTATCATTTTATAATCACTGGATATTAAAGCAACACCGAGAATCCACGTCACTCCATCACTAAGAAATCAACTAATAACAACAAATGCTGGAAAGGCCAAAATAAATCCTTGTTAGTAGGAGTATAAATGGATACAATCACCATGGAAATCAGTATGAAGGTTTCTTTAAAAACTAAAATCAGATATTCCATTTGACTCAGCTATTCCCCCTTCTAGTTATCTTTCCAAAAGAGTTAAAAAATCATATCAAGGGACATCTACATACCAATGTTTATACCAGCACAATTTATGATAGCTAAGTCCTGGAAACACCTCACATGCTCATCAATGAATAAATGACTAAAAAAAGTGGTTTTTATATATGATGGAGTACTATTCTGCCATAAAGAAGGATATACTTGAGACATTTT